AACTCAGATGTCATTACTTACATCTAACATTTCACTTCCAGAAACAAGGGTCAAAATTTTTCAGCTGCCATTCACTGTGCCAATGCCTGAAATTAAAAAAAAATCATTTTATAAAAATCTTTAAAAGGATGATTCAAGTATTGAAAAATCTTAGATCATAACTTGGTCATACACACAAATATATTATTTTTTATACCAATAAAATAATATGTTGTTCAGTGCTGAATGAATTATTTAACAATAGGAGAGGGTCAATGGTTGTGAAATCACATCATAATAATAAGAGAATTTATAAAAAATGAAATAAGGGGTTTTATTTAAAATTTATTATTTAGTTAAGAATAATTATCCTACTAACTTTAATTCATATATTCAACTCTGAAAAACACTTTCTACAACTTATCTTTGGCTACTATAGTCTGTGTAGTCAGCTTGACAGATACAGTCAGCAAATGATGATTGACAGTCATAATTGTTATCTTGTCGTCCTGGTACATGTACATGTTTTCCTACAACTTGCATGATTGCATACATACTTTTTCACAGCAGAAATATACAATTTTATGAAGAACTAATTTGCAATAATATATAGCATACATGAAAACAATCCAAGCATACTTTATATTAAAGTGCAATTTTATGTAATCATTGATGAAAATTACATACATCAAAATATTCTTTATTGTTGACTTTACTATTACTTTAGGATTATTAAAATCATCATCAATTCCTACATGCTGTACAATCATCTGCCTTTTAAAAATAGAACTTGTTACATTTAATATTTCAACAGGTTTTTTCTATTCAATAGATATTTGATAATATAAGGAGTTAAGTAAATTTGAGCTAATTATATTTTATTTTTACCAATTCTTTAGTTATACCACAATTCATTACATTATTTTATATTAACTTCAACCAAAACATTTCAGCACATTTTGAGATAAAAGACTTGCATCAAGTACCTTGCATTAGTTTTAGCTGTAATAAAATTACGCTAATAACTTTCTTCTTGAAGTTTCTCGAAAATGATGTTTCTTTTCGAAAAAATTAAAACAGTAAGGAAACAAATTTCTTAAAACATCTTTCTTAATGCTACATTATATAGAAATTTAGGAAATGTTAAAAAAATGTTAATGAACTGTATATGTGTTAAAATACAATATATCACATATTGCACATATAACATATCAAATTTACTGAAATGGGAAAATATATACATACCTAAAAGCAATCTTGCAATAGCATTTGGTTTGAAGCTCGCGCTATCCACTGGAGCCATCTGCATTTACGCTGACTTCCTTTACCCATTTTTTGCACTCTTCAATCGAATTTAAACTTGATCGTATCGTGAGTACACTGTGAACTTTCCAGTTGTTGGAGCAGTAACAATGTTACCATTTCTCTTACAGTAAGAAAAAAATCTAATTTTACACAGTAATTACTTTACATTGCACATATACTCTACGAAGACTTAAACGCCGGATTTGTTTCCAATCAGATGGCGGTACATCTACCACATACCGTATTTATCCTCTTTTCAAATCGCGCCAACATAATAATTACGCCAAATTTGTTTCTGGGCATACGCAGTAGCGACATTCGTTTAACACTGTTCAACTCAATGTGCGGTTTGCCATTACGTCACCCGGACGGCTTAATATGACAAATCGGGTGTCGTCCGGTACCCGCACCTATTTAGAACAACACAACCCTGGCGACTTCCTGAGAGGGCTGCATCGGGAATATATTAAGGGCGAATATGTGGTATTGACGTGGCCAACAAGGGCGTTGCATATATTTGCTCAGTATACAAAATAAAGTTTCATACACAGGTACATTGGATACATATGTATATTGGTCTAAGTGGTTAATGAGATAGGCAAACAATAAACACTTATACATTAAAAAAATGAAACACTGACGCAACTGGCGCAATAATGCAGAAGATGACAATTAATGAGACAAGACATTGATAGTTTCAAAAGACTCTATTACCATAGATAAAAACATTTATTATCTCACAATTAACTTCTAAATTTATTACATTCAGCCAAGCTACTGAAGATGCCGTCTGTGATCAGCATGTCTACTTTAGCTGATATCTTCTCAGCTATCACCCTAGACCACATATATCCTCTACTCGACTACTGTATAGTTCTTCCTTTTAATAGCTGTTTCTTTATTTTGGTGAAGAGATCATATTCACATGCATTCATATCTAATGAATATGAAGTGCTTCCTCTTGCTACCATTGCTGCCGTCGTAGGAGATTCGTAATAACTTTTGCATTGAGACACCAATCATTGTCCGGCATGACGATGTGACTTGTCACTTAAGACAATGTCTTCGTCACGTGCTCACGCTTAGAAAGAGTTTAAAATCATTAATAGCTTGGTTTCTAAGTTAAAAGTTTGATTATGAAAAATTAAATTTCCTCTGTTTATAACCCCCTTCCTATTGAAGAAGGGGATCGGACAAAATCGCTTAAAGAATACAAACTGCAAAAACTCCTCTTTTATGCGATCGGATCAGAACCATTCGCTTACTGAAATAAGGGGCTTTCTATTACGATTCAACATTGAGGGAACAATGACCTGATGGAAAAGATTGGGAATAAAGAGTGAATCAAAAGCAGTTAAGGACGATGAAGCGAAATGCTAAAAGAATCAAATGAGCAGTGGGATGGGAAGATTCGACTGAATCAAACGCTATTTTCCAGAACTGATTTCTTTCAAATGTAAATTTAGGATCCTCTAAAACCTCCTTTCTTCATAGAACTAATAGTAAAATTCTAGAATAAGAACGCTTTCAGAATGTTGGGAAATGATAGAAATTATACTAATGTTTAAAATGCCAGGATAAATGTGCTTTCTACCCTTAAATGCAGATCAAAATTTCCTCGCAAGCTTCCGATAAGAACTCTCGATAGGTGAACTCTAAGAGCAGTCCTTTTTTTTTTCGCGAATTAGGCGTTCGCTCGCTCAAGAGAGTGAATCAGTCCGTTAACGAATAGTACATCTCTATTCCTAGCACGTTTCCAACAAGAGCTCCCAGTTAACTGTGAAAGAACTACTATATCATATTGTTGAATCACTTTTCCTTTGCTTTGTAATAGGTTCTTTGTTTCTAATTAAATAAGTCCTTTAAACGAATCGCCGAACTCTAAGAATGAATAATTTTTACTTTTCGTCTCTTAAAAGAAGGCGAAGGATTTGAAAATCTGTAAAAATTTCAAAATTTTACGAACAATGCAGATTGGGATATCGAAATTAAAAAATAATAGACATAAAATAGTCGGGTCAAAAATCTCCAGAAGTGAGCCCTCAGATTCGGCATAAATATCAGGATTAATTTACACCTTGTTCAAACAGGAAATTCTGAGATTATTAATTTGGTATTTAAGCAAGCAAAACTCAGTGGCGTAACAGCCCTAATGCGCCAAGGCCTGCAGTGCCCGAAATCTGCTTTCTTGATCGTGGGCTCCGGGTTGCGTAAGCATATGCCCTGAACAAGTGGTCAGCTTGTCGCAGAACCCCCAGTGTTTAGTCCCCAAGCGAACTTGGTGCTCATCTTATCGACCCAAGTGATGGAAATCAAGGAATGAAAGGCTGAATGGATTTTGCCCAGCCCGGGAATCGAACCCCGGACCTGTGGTGCTGCTGCGCAGTGTGCTAGCCACTGCGTCACCGGGCCTTATTTAAGCTAAAGTATCCGTGTAAAATGTTAAAAAATTCGTTTCAACATAAAATAATAAAAAAATGTAAACCAAGTTTTGAAAACTCGCTTCGACATGTATGCGTGTCCTGTCTAATAGTTTCTTCAAAATGCTTCCCTGTAGTTTCAATACACCTTTCCCATCTTTTCTTCTGCTTTTGGAATATCTGTTGAAAATCACTATTTTTGAGAGCGTACAGTGCTCTCGTCGCATTTTTCTAAAACGCATTTTTTTGTATTTTTCTCTTTGAATTGAAACAATCTCCATTCCAAATGATTTTAAGTTTAGCGAAAGAGAAAACAAAGTCTTCCCGAACCAACTCTGAAGAATAGAATGAGTGGGGCATAAAAAAAGCTAAATTTTTTGTCAGATAATTTGCAAAAAGGAGAGATGCGTGAGATGGAGAGTTAATATCATGCAACGTACACGGCTGATTCCCCCACCCAACAGTTCAGGTCTCTTCCTACTCACAATACATCTCAGTCGTCTTAAAATTCTCTGGTAGACTTCCTTACCACGTGGTATAAATCCATGGAGCAGTCTGAACATGTTGATCATCTACTGAAGTGGAAGATCGTCCAGTCTTTGGATCTTTGGCAACCGATCTTTCACCCTCCTTAAAACCTTGAAACCAGACAAAGGACTGTGTTTAGCTCACGCAGTCATCTTTGTATATTATTTGGTTAAGCATTTGGAATGACTCCACGAAATGTTTCCCCTCTTTTACGCTAAGTTTCACACAGCTGCGTTTTTCTTTCAAATTCTCCAATTTTGCATTTTCTCTAATTCAATGTGAAACTTATGCACTACTTCACACATCTGGTAAATTCTACAACAAATGCGTAATTTAGTAACAGTGAACGGAGATAAATTGTCAAAATATTCCGCCAGGTGCGCTCGGTTTCCACAGCACTCCGTCTGCAGCGTTGGTGCTCAATTAAAAAAATTCGGTATTTTCTTTTTGAAAAATCCTCACGTGATATTTTTTTTATTTAATTCATTTATAAATTAAAAAAAAAATTTAAACGTTTCCAACTTGTAAAACAACTTAACAAAAACTTTCATCAACATATGCTTGAAATGGAAATTTTACAAAGTACTTAATTCTAGAGCACGTTAACTAATTACAATGTAGAATTCATGATATAATTCTCGAAATTGTTAAAAATGGAGTAAACAAATTCGCAAAGTAGCATGAACTTTGACAATAAAAGCGTGAATTATGCATAATTTGGAAATATTTGCATTAATGTTGTAATAACATGTTTTTCTCTTTATTTAGTACCACCCTTTAAAACTGCCTGTTACGGTAAACTGGGCTGCTTCCACAATGGACCACCATTTTACAATCCTAGAAGTAATATACTTCCTCTAAAATTACTTCCCCTTCCACCAGTGTTGTATCTCACCAGGTACTATTTCTACAGCAGACGGAACATGAATGAGCCTTTTCTGTTCACACCTTATAATTCAGAAGCACTTCTTAGTTCACCTTTCAACAGCAGTTTGCAGACTAGAATCCTAATAGCTGGATTTTTAGAAGGCGACTATTCGATTAATTGGCTGCAAGTAAGTAATTTGTATCTATTTTGCTATAAAATGCCCTAATTTTAGTACGTGAAAATAATTTTTATTTTTCTTTGTACTTGAATTCTTTAATGTTTCGTGTCCATCAATGGTTACGTGCATCAAAACTACTGAGCATTTATACAAGGTAACCAAAACGTTCTAAACATTTTGGACTATCAGAAAGAAAAGTCATAAAACAAATAATAATGACCACTAATCATCAAAGTAACCACTATCGGCATCCAGTGCCTTTTGCCAACAAGTGGCTTATTGTGCGATGCCATCGCGGTAAAACTCAGAAGTCTTGGATACAAAGAAGTAGGTGAGCTCTGTTTCGAGGTCTAGACGGTAGTTGAAGGATTTCCCACGAAGATAGTTGTCCAGGGAATGGAGAAGGTGGTAGTCTTTTGACGCGAGGTCTGGAAAGTATGGTGGATGAGGAGTGCGTCCCAGCCCAGTCGCTGGATGGTGTCCCTGGCCTCCTGAGCCACATGCGGCCTCACATTGTAAGCATGACAAGACGTGTGGAATCTTGCACCTCCCTCCATGGTGGCCATATCCCGTATTGACAACTTACGCCCAAAACGCCTTCGGACAATCATTGCACTTTTTTTCATTTTTACGTATTCAGCACAAATGACCATTTTGTCCCTCGAACGCTTTTTGAAGCCTTTTTAATTTCAGAACGCAATAAATTATCTTTGTTGTTATGCCCTAATGTCCTGCCGTTACTTTATTTCACTTGGCATCCAACCTCACTTATTTTTTACGCGCAATACAGTCGTTGGTGATCTTTCCTTGGCAGTTTACGTATTAATAAAGCTTGTAATTTATTTCTGAAATGTACAGGGAGACGAGGATGCATACATTTTCAAGAGTTATGAAATATCAGTCCTGATCTTAAATAAATTTATCTTGCGGAAAGAAGAGAAAGAGGATTAAGGGGCTGAAAATATGAGTATTTTCATAGATTTCTCAATGTGGAAGTTGACTGTGAATCAGTTTCATTTAGAACGCCCTTCCGGATTACATCATCTCACTTTAACAAAGACCCTATCTAGCACGTTCTACTAATCAACTGGTGAAACTTAATCACCCGGAAATCAAGTTAAAAACCAAATGCTGAACTATTGTAGATTTGAACGCTAACCAGTGCTTGATTTCGGTCGAGTAAATAGATTGGTTGCGTCGGGTTTCATGCTTTTGTTTAGGTGGTAACACATATACAGACAAACGCCATTAGAAAAATTCTAAAAGCGTGTTGTGGGGACTCGAAATCCTGCTTTTTTGTGAAAACTCACTATCGAATTTTCAAGTAGAAAACTTTACATTTCTTACCTATGTAGTGTATAGATTGGCATGATATGTAAAGGTCTATAAAGGTATATGTTGCTACCTGAAGGTCGATAATTATCCAGGAGCATTATGATGCTACCTGAAGGTCGATAATTATCCAGGAGCACCATAAAATATTATGCGAATGATTGGTATTGACACTTACTTAATATTATGCGAATATTATGCCTGGAGTTTTATAGATTTTGAATGAATGAAATTGTCTTTTACCAAGTGTAAATAATTAGAAATAGAATATTGGCATTTGATAAACATTATCGGTTAACAACTATAACCAGTAACGGATCTGGAGTTAGCCGATATGCATTTGGTAAACGGGCCACTTGCACATTACATTTGGCCAATAGTGTATAAAGCGTGATGGTCCGACGCATTAGCTTGTTCAGCTGCAGGATCTGCCAGACTCTGATTACTATTTTTGAAGACATACAAAAAAGCTGGTTAATAACGCCAAGGAGCTGGTTGCAAACATCCCCGTAGCAGCTAGGGATTCTGAGACACGCTGAAAATCTTCCACAATATTCGAATTTCCATGGAATTTCATAGAGGACACTTCAGCCACTTTTTCGAGACCTCCATTGCATTTTTTAGTGACATTTTATTATCAGAATGCTTGCTTACTTAGAAATGTCATTTCATTTCCTTTTTTTTCTGCTTACATTTGTCATTCCTGACCCTGTGATCGGGAATGTATGCTATGTGTTTTCAAATTGTCTCGATACAACCTCCACTCTTACAAGTTTGTAGCCAATAATGTAGATTTTGAGCTTTGACACCTACATGACGCTTTTAATATATAAAAAAAACATTAAATTAAAATGTTTATACAGTATCTTATAAATTTCAGCAAGAAAATAGGTTCTTGGAAAAAAATATTGTATTATCCATATTCAAACAGAAAACCATTATTGCTGAACATTGTATTTCAAATCCTTAACTAAAATACTTGCGACCAGATATGAGCATTTAAGTATGTTAATTATTTGAGCTTAAGATTCTGAAAGATATCCTTTACGTCTAAAAAAGTTAGTAGAAGTTCGAATTGTTTTTCCCTGTTAAGTTCAAAACGTTTTACTTCTCGAGATTAAACTGTATGAAACTACTAAATTTAGTATTTAATTATTTATTTTCATTGTCCAAAATGGTCTAACTTTTCTTTTCATCAGGTAAGAAAATTTTTTTAATTTTCACAGTTTGTTCACAGGCATTTTGCATATTATGGAGCTGCCTCTCTCTTTAAGGGGCTTAATAGGATAAGAATCAATGTACTAATTCGAAAGTGTTTGGGGAAAAATTTTTGATATTTTTAAATTGAAAAGTAGATTCAAAACTACAAGAATTTTAATTAGTTGAAAATCGTGTAGTCTCGAATATAATCTTTTGATTCATTTTCCATATTGGAATCATTGGGTGTTCGACAACCATTCAAGGGTTTAATGGTGCAAGTTTTCTGAAAGATCCTATATAACAGATTAAATCCTTGATATTCTTGAAATGATTGCACTTGCCTTGAATTATATTCTTGAAATACTAAGTGAAGAATACTATAAAGGAAGCATGTTATTAGAAACATTGAAATGTTATTTTCTTATTTTTTGGCGTTACGTTAAGCTGCTAAAAGTAAATTTTGTTTCTAACCCTAAAAGTATCATTTTCGAAAGATACGCATTCATATCGTTTGAAAATTTTTCTTCTTATAATTAAGCACTTTCATCTTTTTTAGGAACTCAAAGATGCGTACCTTTCTTGGATGGATAATAATGTTATCATAGCAGATTTCGGTCCAACTATTCCTTACAGCCAGGCCTCTGTGAATACACGAGGAGAAGGAGCACAAGTCTCTTTACTTTTAAGGTTTATACAAGTGAGTATATTTCGAGTTGTAAATTTAATTTAGATAAGCATACAATCAAACAAAATAGTTACATAAATTTTCAAATTTATTGAACGAGTGTATTCTATAAATTAGCCTTAAATAATAAATAAACACATCAAGTCCTAAAATTCGGGTGCTTGAGATTTTTGAATATAAGAACTACTCCATTTGAAATTCTATATTATAAAAATACCCTGGTTTAAGGATGAAATGCTGTGATGCCAATATTTATTAACCTCATGGCGATTTATTAATTATATGAAGAGTATGTATGTCATGCATTCTTAGTTCATTATTTTAATGCATAACAAGAACAGTAACAGTAACCTTTCAGACAACCTTGATTTCTCTTTCTCAGTGGCTTTGAAAAAAGACCAATTCTTCATTCACGCACATTTCCTATGCATTCGCAGTAAGGGATTGTATATTATGATGCTCAGAATTTTCCTTTATTATATTATATTAAGGTGTCGAAACTTTGCGTATTTACGCAGTAGACAAATCTTAGTACGATGTTCGATAAAATCATCTATTTAGAAAGTTTCAACCGATCTTCTTTGAGCCTAATGTAAATTTTCTATCATTACAACAGCACACCAATCGGCAAAAATCACGTTACAAAGACCTTACTTAATGCTAGATGTTTAGAGTTTTTTCTAGCAGACAGATAAGGAAACTCCTCTGTTTGTATCATCCAGCAAATTTAAATGCAGTTACACTCAACCGTTTTTCAATAGAACGAAAGAGAAAAAAAATTCCTCTCGTATTAGGAAAATCAAATCTCATAAACCATACTGTTTTAAAGGCCTTTAATCTTTTTCTTTGTCTATAAAGCAAACAAAGTCCTAGAAAAGGTGATATCTTCCAAGAATCAGCGTAAGTTTGGAACAAAAATGATACTAAGGGAATAGACCTTCAGTAACTCTTTAACAACAACACTTGACATTACAGAAATATTGGAGATAATTTTAAGTTTATAGGAATCGGATTTCTTTCGCCAAATATTTCCTCGATTTTACAGCCTGAAAGATACAGAAAAGCCTAAAGGTTTAAATGATATTCTAGAGCAGTGGAGCTCAACCGGGTTTGCCTGAAGAACTACTTTTAAATTTCTGCAGTGCCTCACTGGCACCCGGTGGATGCTTGAAAAATTGGAAAATAATAGTCTCACGATACTATGTGATTTTACTGGACGATTTTATGTTTCCAAATAATAAGACAAGTTAAAACAATTTACAAAAATTGAAATCCACTACTAAACACAAATGTAGAGTAGGCTCAAACTACATAATTTCAAATTAGAAAATAACAAAAAAGCACGCACTAATTAATTAATTACTAATACCAGAAAATGTAGCTGTTAAATTATTAAATTGTCAAATATCTCGATCAGTCAGTCGTGTATTAAGTCATTAGCTTGATATAAATGAAATATTTAATTATAAATATCCTCTGGCCTGACCTTGTGTTGGTTTTCACATGCTGCGGAGTCTACATATTTTTGTACTTGCTTTTTGTTATTTTAATTTGCTATGGAACATCTAACAGCTCACCTCTCACAGCCTCTCACTTTACAATGCTGACCACAAAAACTCTCCCATCCTCTCACTTTACAATGTTGACCACAAAAGTTATTGCACTAGAAGTGCAAACCTAAGTATTTTTTAACATTTAATAGTGTTCACTAGTTTATAAACATCATTACGTTTATTTTCTGACCACAAAAGTTATTGCACTAGTAGTGCAAACCTAAGTATTTTTTAATATTTAATAGTGTTCACTAGTTTATAAACATCATTACGTTTATTTTCTGTGCGTTTATTTCAAATTAGAAAATAAATAAAAGTCACAAACCAATAAACTAATTGTTAATACAAGAAAATGTAATTGTTATAGCAGTACGAAGAGTAACGATCTCTAATTCGTTAGTGTTGTACGATTTGTTATAAAAAATTTTGCCCTCTGACTGTCACTTCTGTTATGTTTAATTACAAGAAAGGATTTTTTGTGAAAAATAAAATGGGCTCCATAGAAAATATATCTTGGGGTCTTGTTTTAAAGTCTGAACTAAATAACAAAAGGTTTTGAACATGTTCAGATCCTTATCCATAATTAATTCTAGGAACAGAATGAGGGTAAATGACGATAAATGTTGGTAGTCTTTCTCCAGTAAATTGCTCTTCGACAAATAGACTCTAGTCATAAAAGCAGATAATGAGCACATAATTTCCGATGTTTGTTTCCTTTTCTTTGCAACATAGTATCTATGTTGCTGAGTGTTGCAATGATAACGGTTAAAAAGGCCAAGTCAGCAGGCCCATTCCATGCCCCCAAATTTTTGGTCAAAATTGTCCTTGAATATGAGAAAAATTTAATCTACGATAGTATTCCAAAAAATCTTGTTAAAACGTTTTCTCGATTCACTCACCATTCTTCTGTATGGCGAATCATATCACCGTACTTGCTATTTAGCCCATCAAGCGGAGCTCTAAAAAAGGGCGATGATGACAAAGGCCCTTCCTCAGATAAAATTTACAATGCGTACAATAGTCATTATGTGATTGAGGATAATGTTTTTAGCAGTTAGATTTTATAGGTGTTATGTTATGTAGAAGTGAGGGGGCCGCCTCATATTTACCCTAGGTAAGTAGGTATTAGCCCCTCACACTAACTAGAAAACTAACAACATTCTGGCATCATTCCTCAAGTCGCGATGGAAATTGTGACTCCAGTGACCACTACAAGTACTGCCACTGCCGGCGGCATCAACGGCACTCCTACCTTTCAGCTAATTTATTAGCTCAAGTAAAATGGATTAAATTACATGATATACATTGCGATATACATTGTTGTGCATTTGCATATTTTCAAGATGTTATCTATTGTAGTGGGTTGAGACAACTTGTTTCAGGACGTTATATCTATTGCAGTAGAAACAGGTATGATGTTCCCACGCTCTTACAAATCATTTTTGTAAACATGATCTGTTTACGTCAGTGTTTACTATCAGAATTAAGTAAAAGCTGAAATATTGTTTACAAAGCTTACATTTAAGTACTGTTGTGAAGTTGTGCTGAGACTTTAGCAGCTCAATTTTGACGATTCATTATGTGCTGTCTGTAACGTATGTTTTTGTGTAGATTTTATAGATGAATTAATTAATTATAAATATTAATTAATTAATTATAAATTAGTGGTATGGATTTGGAAAATGCGTCATCCTGCTTACAGAGCCCAATAAATTTAGTGTTAATCAAAATTATAGCCGGCGCACCGTCGGTTGGGATTGCTACCAGCATTTTTACTGGTACGTTCTCTTTAGTAATATAGTTTTTAATTGCGTCATATATGTCTTGCTCTCGCTTGTGTTTTGCCAACGTCAACGTGCTCAACAATGCTTCCTTCGCAGAAAGGTTAGGAAACACCATTCTCGTAAACATCAGAAGCTGCAGTGAGTCAGTAACATCAGTGGATTTATCAAACTGCAGAGAAAAATACGCATATTTTGCAAAAGAAGATATCATTTGTACTTAGAGATGACACTTGCCATATCTTCCACTTGTGGTTCCACCGTATTTCTTGAAAGAAGCACATCTTTCGTTGCTGAGATTATTTGATTTTTGTTTTTAAATTTATGAAATAAAGAGTTTGACATTGAGAGCCCAGCTTCCTTTACAATGGCCCCTGTCTGAATATGGCTTTTAATGTGATGAAGGAATAAACTTACTTGAAGGATGTTTTTGTGTGATTCTTTGCATCATTTTTGAGGATAAATAGAACGATTTGATAAGTGTTTAGAAAAGATTTCAAAGACTTAACTTTATATCTAGGTAAAGCAGACCTGAGTGAATATTTACCGTTTAAATCTTTAAAACCCAATTTATAATGGCGTTCAACATTCGATCGCTTTGGTACCGCTACTGAAGTATTGCGTAATAAGCAAACTGATTTTTTTTCACCATCGTTTGGAAATAATAGTTCGTACTTCCATTTGTTGTTCAAGTGGTAGAGTTTTTTTTTTTTTTTTTGTCTTCGATTGCCCTGGCACGTCACTCATGTACAATTTCATTGGAAAAAGAGTCTAGCCCATGCGATTTGTTCTTCTTGATTTCAATAACACTGTTAACTTCTGAAGTAGAGAACTGATAGTCCATAAATGAAATATATAGTCTCTCAGACTGAGTACGCATAGTATTATGAGAATTTCTATCATCATTCGAATTATGTTTAGGAAATATTTAGTCATTATAGCCACAATTGTATCACTTAAACTCGAAGTAATCTTGCCATCCGGGAGTTTAATTCCGTAAATCTCAATCCTTTTCGCAAAATTGGTCTTGACCTCATATATATATATATATATATTTCCAGACATTGTGAACATTTGCTGAGAGAAATTTGTTTCGCGATTCAAACTTGACATTAGTTAATTTAGCCTTATAATTATGTCACAACTCAAAATACTTAATTATATATATATATCTTTAAGAGTACTGTTTCTTTCTCTCTGAAATTTACAGCATTTACATGCATTCTATAACTATCAATTTCTTTACACTACCAAGGAACACCGTTCTTCATGCTTTTCTTCATCGGAATTGAAAATGAAGCACAATTAAAAATTACGGTAGAAAGTGTATTTACAACATTTTCTTATGCAATACAATCAGAGTAACTATTAAAAGTGATATTCAAGTCACACAGTTCTCTCTTATAAAGTTCTCTAAATAAATACCAGTTTGCTCTTTTTAAATTAAAAGTACAGAAATTAGAAGAAATAATAGGACGACATAAAAGGAGTTCAAAGATAATCATTTTATTGTCAGAAAAAGATACTTCCTCAGAGATATTCCAGCATTGAACGTATGGTAGCGATCCCAAGCTACAAAGCGTAAGGTCAATATAACTCGAGGCATGCGTGGAACAGAAATTAGGTCAGCGATTTTCATTAATGAGAAACAAATGATTCGCATTAATAAAATCGCCAA